ACAACAGACAGAAAGGGATCCCTGTTTTGCTCCTTTGCAGAATCCATGTGGTTTCTTAGTGCAGGTCCCCAAATGGCAGGGTCACCTCTTTTCCAAGCCTACGGTCCATCATTGCACAAAGCCTTCTCAGTGTCCCAGCTCCCATGCTGGCTAGCAGAGCTTTTCACAACAGGCCTAGAACTGAGATCCAGTGTCTGCCAAAGTCCATTCAGAGTCTTTTAGTGGGATAGGGCCTGCAACGGGTGGGTGGTCCTGAAAGAAATCCACGAGGGCAGCAAGCAACATCTTGTGGCCTCCTGAACATCTCTTTGATTGCTTCACCCCTCCTGAGGCAGGAATTTGGGGCTTTCCTTTTCCTCATCCGTTGCAAAGCTGCAGTCCAGGCCTCCAGCAGAGGCCTTAGAGTCAAGCACCTTGGTAGAGATTTGCCATATTCCAGAAATTGTTGCCAAATACAGTGAAGTTAATGTAAAACTAGGCATATTCAGCTACCTTATTCAGTTCATCAAATTGCTTAGAGCAACAGAACTTCAGTAAATAAATAATTACTTGGGGGAAGGTTCTGCCCACTTAGTGTAAACAGAGTAACTCTCTTTACGAGAGCCCACCTTACATCAGTGAAATTACTAAGAAAGGGGTCAGAATTGGGCTTCAATAGCTTTAGTGTTCCGCGTTCCTTGTTTTTATTCCTTTTACTCTTCATTCTAGTCATATTTTCTTTATGAGTTTGCATTTTTTCTTTAACCTGCTTCCTGATTTTAAAAAGGTGCATTTCCTTTAGTCTCTAAAATTTCCCGTAATTTTTTTTTATTTCCTGTCCTTTTTTTCCTTTTGGATTCTTGTGTTCTTTATAGCTTCTCCCTTCTATCTCATTCTCACCACTTCAGCCCTCACCAGCAACAAGTGCTAGTTCTTCTAAAAGACAAAAAAATACGGTTGGTTCCAAAGAAAGGACATTTGAAAAGCAGCTCTGCCAAAGCAAGGACTGCAAGATTCATCTTTACCCTTCCTGTCCCTTCTGTATGATTTCTTCATATTGTCTTATCCTATCTCTGTTCTTTTTTCTCTTGTTTTCTCTTCATTCAGTTCTACATCATTATTCCTCCTGTTTTCTATTTCATTTTCCTCTTCTCGGATGCATCCCTCTTCTCATTTCTTTAAATTTTCTACCATATGTTCTCTTTGTGGAAATCACTGATTTCCCCTCATGCTCTGAGACTTGCGTCTCCATGAAGTTCCTTTCTTCTTTCCAGATTGATTTTACTGTCATCTGTTACTATAAAATTAAAATGCCTCCCACAAACAAATTATTCTTCTTTCTTTCCCCTGATGACCAGTCCATTTTCCATTAACAATGGTTTGTCCTGCCTCTCTTATCCAATTTTCTTTCCATGGGACTTCCTCTGCCAGCTATTTCTCCTCCTGCCTGACTGGGGAAATCATCCCCTGCAATCCCTCCCATGGTAGAACTCTGCACAACAGAAATTTGTTTTCTCCTTCAGGGTGCACTGCTTTCTTTAGCAACTCTTTCCCCTCAGTATTAAAATCACAGCAAATTTGCACTCCCCAGCAAACTCATGCAGGATTTTCAGAAGAATTCTAAAGTGGAATAGTATTGCCTGCAGTAGGAAAAAAAGGGGTTCAGTGCAGGACAGCCTATGGATTTTATTTCTCCTGCTCACCCACCTTCACCAGCCACCAGGACGTGTGGGGGAATTTTAGCTGGCTTCCTTTTTATTAGGGGATATATACACACATCCCCTAAAATAGTCCCAGGCAATTCTCACCTTTCTCTAGCACCTAGTAGTCTCACAGACACAACAGCCATGGTTTTATCAAGCCATAATGTACATTGGGAATCTTTAAATGCTGTCAAAAAATGGCTTTTTAGATCCCAACCACTCCATGAGATTGGTATTCTTCTTTTCTCCTCTTGGCACTGTGCTGCCTTCTCTCGGATATCCACTTAATTTAAAAAGCACTGGCTTATTTACAGTCTTCAGTAAGCTACTCTTCCTAAAATGTGACGTGCACTGTACACTTAACTATTCTAAGAGCTCAGAATTTATTAAAACAAAGTCCATTATATATTAATATATATTTATGTGTGTGTACGTACTAGTCCAGAGAGTCCAAAATTATGTATTTATGGCATTTTAATGGCAATAGAGTAAACCAGACCAGTGCTGTTACAGGATGGTATCAATAGAGTGGTCTTCATAGTACTATTTGTGTTTTATGGAGCTGGTAGAAATCAAGGGACTGCGTCTATGAATTTCAAAGGGCTTTGAATCACACACCTGAGGTAGAAGTAGTTCTGATTTCACACAAATGCTATTTTCCCTACAGTTCAGGGATAAAAGGTTTCAGTATTTTGGTTGATCTCTGTTAGTACTTTCCCCCTCCCAAAGAGGCTATGTAAGAGTGAAGTCTCTTTCTCAGCAGATACTCTGCCATATATTACAATCTGCTCCCATATTCCTGAACTGCATCACAGGTTCTTTTCTTACCTCAAGGAGAGCTTGGCCTAATTGTTCCCTTGTCCAAGCCCCCCAAGCAGGAAAGGACTTTCCATGACATTCACTGTTGCAACAGTGCCATACCAGAAGGATCCAGCAGAACTTGGCAGAGTTTCTCTATAATCATGTGCAAGCAAATATCCCCTTTGCTTTCTTACCTCCCTTTTTATTCCTAACAGGAGTTGGGGAGGTTTACAGGCACCAGTCGCCATAGCATTTGCTACTTTGAAAGTTCTCTGAGAACATCTGAATTGTCCTTTGTCACATCCCTAATAGCCTTAGTCAGAGGCCTTAAAGTGAAGGAAGGAAAGAGGTGAGGAAGGTGACCATCTTAGTGCACTTTACTCAAGGGAATCTCTGAGGTCCTTCTCATTTATGATATTTTGTACATTTACCAGTTGCTCTTCAGAGACCCAAAGGGCAGATAAGCATCCAGCTCCGTTCTGCATCTCTGAAAATCAGAACTGGTATGCTAGATAGATTGATTATGGGGTAAGTAGGAAAATTTCACACCTCTAAAGGCAATTACTTTACAAACCTGGGAGGCCCCTGTTAAAACCAAATACTATGTGCCCTAGCTTTATACTGAATGAGTGTGTGGGTGTGGAGCTCAAGCACGGCACTAACAACAGGAATCATAGAATCATAGAATCATTCAGGTTGGAAGAGACCCTTGGGATCATCGAGTCCAACCATCTACCCTACTCTACAAAGTCCTCCCCTACACCATGTCCCTCAGCACTGCATCTAAACGGCCCTTAAACACAGCCAGGGATGGGGACTCCACCACCTCCCTGGGCAGCCTGTTCCAATGCCCTATCACTCTTTCGGTGAAAAATTCCTTCCTAATGTTCAATCTAAACCTACCCTGTTGGAGCTTGAAGCCATTAGAGGGACAATTCTGAGTGGGGAGCATTGTCAAAACTAGGTTCAGCCATATAGGTTTGCCTATATGCATAGTTTGTGTGGCCCTGGTTGTATACGCTAGTATTTTTAAAATACTATTGCTCTATGTGCTTCTTACACTCGAGTTGTGAATCAATATAGGTTAAATTTATATAGCAGAAAAACCTCTTCCCTCTGTCTATTATTGGACTGGAAGACTTTTTATAGGACATTTCCATCATAAGGGAATTTTACATCGGGTTTATAAACCCCTGAAAATAAAAGCATGGATGCTGTAATGCTGACAAGCCATTAGCTACAGCAGTACTAGCAGGAGCCACTCTCATACAGGGTTCAGAATAGTAATGTAGTCGAGTACAGTCCTTGGACAACTGCTTGCATTTACAGAAATTGATGGGTTATTGCGCTGCAAACTTTTCACCTAAGAAGCCTGAGGAATGAGGTGAAGAACAATAGAGATGTCTCGCTGAGAGAATGGCTTCACTACACGCAGGATTGCACAACACTTTGAAATCTTCCACCATCCCAGTCCCATGCTGTCTCCGACTTGGCAAACGCTTTCATTTAGCCAGGGATCAGTAGCTTGGGAGGAAAAAAAAGTTCCATTCTCCAGCTGTTGTGTCATTTCCCTTGATAAGTCCTAAATTGACCGAGTTATCCAGCACCAAAGGAGCCTTCCTGTGGTAGACATGCTTTATTATGTGCCCTTTCAGGGACAAAGGCTTCTGTGTCAGTAAACTGCCACGGAGAGGAAGGACAGATTTATTCTCACAGCATCATAAGCATTATCTTCTGAGGGGCTAATGTAAAAGTAAAAAATTGTGCAGCATTACCATCCCAAACCTAATGGCTGATGTTGCTGCTCCTTGATTATCAACCTGATGGGAGGCAGAATGAAAAGCTTGAAAGGCGGCTTCTCAGAAGGGCATATTTGAAAAGATGATTTTAAAATTAAGGAGTTTTTAAAGGCAGCGTTTTGTTTGGGCTCGTTCATTTGCTGGGCTGTTTTGGACGTTTGGCTGGTGGTTTGGGTTGGGTATTGTGCAAAAGGGAAGGAAGGTTTGTGAATCTCCTCATTTGGCATTAATTTTAGATAAAGCAGAAAGTCTTGATTTCAAATTAAAAACCCAAGCAGCCCGCGCATGTATTTAGCCCTCCCCACAGACTGCAAAGAAATATATTAACAGCAGCCTTTTTTCTGTATGTGATAAGAAGGGGAAACGGGGAATGGGACTTGTCAACCCTGGGGACATTTTGCAAGGCACAAATGACAGTGAGAAGCCCAGGCACCACCTCACTCAGAGGCAAGTTGGCCATTTTCAGGGCTTTGGCAACAAAGTCTGTCTGAAAATCTTTCACCATCCCCTGGAAATACTACAGCCTAGTTAGCATTTTGGCAATCTGAACATGCTTCATAACAACCCTGACAAGGCAACCCTGTTTCTGTTTGGGGAAGAAGAGAAAGGGATAAGTGTATTAAAAAACATGGACATCTAGACAATGAACGCTGGTGTAAGCCTAGCCCCCTCGTATGTGACGTGAAGAACTGACGTGATTAAAAAAATATTTCAACAGATCCTCAAACAGCCACTGGAGAGGTGGATGGGGTGAACCTGGAAGAAATCCGAGAATTTGCCAAAGCTTTTAAAATCCGGCGCCTGTCCCTTGGCCTGACGCAGACTCAAGTTGGCCAAGCCCTAAGCGCCACCGAAGGCCCAGCCTATAGCCAGTCTGCCATCTGCAGGTAACAAGTTATATCATAAACTCTCCTCTCTTTATTCTTAAGAATTATTCAGCTTATGTTTGTGTTTATTATTCATGCTTGTGTTTGAGTCTCATGTCTTTAGCATGTATTATGTAATCTGGGACTGAAATTAGCCAATAAGGTTGGTATCTGGTAGCTGAAATGTTCTTATTGTGTACTTCTAAAGTAACTTTAGTCTTTTTTTATTTCTTTTCCTTCCTCCTTTTTTAAACAAGTGAGAAACAATGTGCCTGGCATTGAGACTTAATTCAGTAGACGAGCGGGAGACCCTGCTGATGCTGGATAAGCACCAGCTGACCCTCTTCATACTGTGCCATTTTCTACAGATAGGGTTACTGAACAAATATTTCATGGCTGCATCCCTGCTAAGTTAAAACCTGTATTACTGTGGTTAGCACTTCACATATAGGATGTTAATGATGATTTACCTAGGCAACACAGAAGGGAAAAAATGATCCTTCCTGCTATCTTGCAAACCGGCAGCTATTTGTCTTTTATCACCCAAATATTTACTAAAAAAAACCCCCACAAACAGGCAATCCGTGTATGCAAAGCAGAAGTAGAAATCTGCCCTAATCATAAGAAATGATAATACAGTCTTGACAGAGTTAAAGTAGTTAGAAGCAAACACCGTATATGCATGTATGTGTGTTACAGTAATCCCATGTTTATGCATGAGGTAACAAACACACTTAGGTAACAGCTTTTTCCTCTTGGGCAATGCCTTATAGTCCTTCTCCATCAGTGAAAGCCAAGAAACCAACTCTAAGCTCATTTAAGTGGATTTTGTTCTTGGTGATCCATGAAATGCTCTGTCTTTTTATCTGCTCTTTATACTTTTAATGTATTCCCCATAGAACGGAAGTGTACTTTTCCTGCAGTTTAAGACTAAGGTTATAAATAACATCAGTATGGGGTAGTGAGCTTGCAGCTCACATTTTGCTCAATGGTTTTCCATAAAACCCATTGATTGTTGTTAAATACAAAAAGCTCCATAGGATCCTCTCACTTCTATGGTCTCCCCTACTGTTTTTTCTTATAAGATACCTCCCTGTAGAAAATAACCTTTATTCAGTCTATACGAGGATACTACTGCTGGGAAATTTGTTTCAAGACTTGTATATCGTTATACCAAACACCATGTGCTGCAGTATCAACACTAACAAGCAATGCCAATGATATGAATGCTATTGCTCCCTGCTGCTAAGGATTAATTTTATTGGGTTTTTTCTCTTCCCTGTGGTCAATTGGTAAAGAATGCCTAAAACGGGTGGAGTTTTTAGCAATTGCCGATTTGTTGTAGCCTTAATTTTCTGTTTAACATACTATATTTTAAAGTGATAAATTGCAGCTTCCTTTGTTTTTGTCTGGTTTGCTGTCCTCTCGTTTCCTCCCATCTACCTCACACCTGAGAAAACCACTGGGGATGGTTTGAATTTTATAAGAGAAGGGGTTCCCCACTAACCGATGATGATGAAGACCCCAATAAAGGGGAAGCTGGAGCACAGACATGGCTAACAAAAGCCCATTAATGTGGAGACCTTTTACAGAGGACTCCTTAGAGGGACAAATTGCTCAGAACATGAGGACAGGGTGCAGAAGCTGGTCCCAAATATTTGCAGGGTTATAGTTTTTTTTTAATTTCCTTTGACACACACACACATCACTTTGGGGTGTAATAACCTGCTATGACTGTGCATTTCTTGTTAAGCACCAAGACAAGCTGCTTCATGCTGTTCCTCAGAAATCATAGGTTTAACTTTTCTTTAAATGGTAACAAAGGAGTTTCAGTATGGACTCCAGGGTAACAGGAACAGCAGTAAGGTAAGCAAGTTGAACAACCAGCTCAGGGACAGAAGCAGAGGCTCCTGTGCAGGTGGTGTCAGCACTATACCACCTTGCTGGTATGTTCTGTGTGACAAATGACATCATTTTAACTTGAGACAATGAGTTCTAAAACATACAATTCAGCCTTGAAACACCACTGGACACCAAGGAAGGACCCCTTGCAGCCAATCCCACACTAGGATCCCAGGCACCAGTTACAAATTCTTTGGAGTGTTATTATCTGAAATTATTACTTAATTCTTTTTTTTTTTTTTTTTTTTTTTTTTTTTTTTGTGAGAAATGCTTTGTTTCTTGCTGGGATATTTTTCTGCAGCCGCCACACGCTGAACAGCCACTAAAAATTGCCAGCTCCAGTCACCCAGGAGCTTTGCCCAAAGGCATTGATGTGGTCGGTCTCATCTCCAGAGCACGTGGTGATGAGCGGTGGCTGCGGTGCTTCAGCAGCACCGAGCAATAGCTGCTGCCTTTCCACGTTAGATACCACCATGAACAAGGTGGCCGTAGGTGAAGGGGGGACATACAAATGGGTGGCATCAGAGGAGTTGGGTTAAGACTGGTTTTTTTAATGCGTAGCAAGAGAGGGTGAAGTCGGTAAATGAAAGAAACAAGTAATTTATAATATAAGACTCGAAATGTGAACTCGGCTCTTGTGCTTTTTTTTTTTTTTTTTTTTTTTTTTGAAAGGATTAAAGCTTTGTGTGGCTGCTTTTCCAGATGTTTTATAATACTTGTAAAATCTGGTTTGGCAAAAGACTTTTGATGGCAAAATGATATATAGAAGACCTCATTTACAGGAAATGATATCATTCTGGTAGAGTTTGCAGAAATCCCACAATAAACCCAGCTTGGTGCCACAGCATATTAGTAGACTATTATGCTGGGTTTCATCTGGAAAACATGAGTCTTGTCTTTGCACGTTGTGGGGGCAGTCAAGATAATTGCAAAGTGTCCAGCTGTTTCTGCTGAACACCACCGTAGCTATGGGAGTCTTTTTCCGACCCAGAAAAGGGATATAGCGTTAACTTGCAAACAGTGAAAATTGCTGAAAAATGAAAGGAAAGGCAAGGAAACCTGATATTCAGAGGCTAGTGACTGCCATTGGTTTGTATTATTAAAGCTGCGGTGTTTGGACAACATGGGATGGGAGGGGAAACAAAAGGATTAATCATCACCAAAAGACGAGATGATAAAGAGCATTTGCCTTTGATGTCATTTCCTGTAATTAGACTTAGCCTTAAGGATTTTGAAGATCGTCAGAAATATGAAAACGTGACTCATAACCTGTATTATTTAGTGTACTTAGAGTTTTGTTGTAGTGCTCGGTTTGTGTTAGCTTAAATATCTAGCTATATATATATATTTATAGATATACCTATCTGATAGTTTTCTTAATCCATTGTAAATTACCTCTGCCAGTCAATTAGTCAGGCAGGCAGGAAGTCCCACCCTGGCAGAGCATCAGTGTAAGACTCTTCTTTCTCAATTTTCCCTCAGACACACCATCCTGAGAAGCCACTTTTTCCTACCACAGGAAGCCCAAGAGAACACTATAGCTAGCAGTCTGACAGCCAAACTGAACCCTGGCCTTTTGTATCCTGCCAGGTTTGAAAAGCTGGACATCACCCCTAAAAGTGCCCAGAAGATAAAGCCGGTGCTTGAGCGGTGGATGGCTGAGGCTGAGGCCCGCCATCGAGCAGGTATGCAGAACCTTACCGAGTTTATCGGAAGCGAACCATCCAAAAAGCGCAAGAGGCGCACCTCATTCACGCCACAAGCCCTTGAGATCTTGAATGCCCACTTTGAGAAGAACACACACCCCTCTGGGCAAGAAATGACAGAGATCGCAGAGAAACTGAACTATGACCGGGAAGTAGTTAGAGTTTGGTTCTGCAATAAGAGGCAAGCACTGAAGAACACAATTAAACGTTTGAAACAACACGAGCCCGCGACAGCAGTTCCTATGGAGCCTTTAACAGACTCGCTGGAAGAAAACTCCTAAAAAACAAAAAACCAAACCAAACCACACACAAAAATCCTGCACCGACAGTAACGTAAACCATTCGAACTCTGTGAAAAAAAAAACCTGTTCATCACCCTTGTAAGTAAAAGACTGAGAAAAACTACAAGAAGGACAGAACAGTTTATAAATGTCCGTGGGTTTTCCTATTTAAAAAACAAAACGAAAAAAAAAAAAAAATACACAACACTTAGTGTGTGTGTGTGTCGTAGAATTAGTTCCCAAAAAAAGAAAAAGCCAGTTTTTTTAAATGGACTTAAAGTAAACCAAATAACTGCTTACTTTTTTTTCTGTATATTATGAAAATGTGAACACATTTTAAGGAAAAACAAAACAACAACAAAAAAGAAAAAAAAAAAAGAAAAAAAAAAGAAAAAAAACTTTATCTGTTTAAAAGAGAATACAAGCCTGCCACCTGGAGGAGTGATTGTAGCCTTTCAGGTATCAAGTGCTGATTCACTTATGAAAACTATTAACCAAAGTCAGAAACATGGCATTGCAAACTAGATTGTTAGTCTACTCTTTTATGAGTGTAAAATTGTGTTACGAATTTTTACATTTGTATTTTGCAAAGAGGAAAACAGCATTAATTTCTCTCATCCTTGTTCGCACCCCCTGCCGGTGTGTACAAACAGGTGTTAAAGCCATCCCATAGTGGTCGCCTCCTTTTCTTTTAGTCAACAGTTTTGCAATCTCCAGGTGTTTGGGTGCCAAAAATAATTTGTTTTTCTTGTGATTTGCGGGGTTTAGTATTTCTCTTCTGAGGGTGTATGTCTTGGTTTGCATTCATTATTATTTTTTGGTTCTGGTTCTTTTTGCTGCCTCCCTCCTTCTGGCTCATTCTCCACCCCTTCCCCAAACCCACATAACCCAGTACTGTTTGAGGATTTTTAAAAAGAAAAGTGAAATCTGAACACTTTTATATTGATATGCTGAAATACCATAGAGGACAAAGAAGGATTAGGATTATGTCTGATGAACTGTCAGCCCACGCTGAACATCGTGCTTATTGTCGAATGTGTAGCTTGGGATTTCTCTGTCCTTTGGCCATGAACCTGGAGAGGTTACCAAAACTCATTTTGTAGTATAAATATAAACTGCACACTTGGTTCCATACTGCATCTGTATTATGGTTCTATTAGAAGCAATTTCTCTCCAAAGTCTGCTAGCCAAAGAAAATCCTTGAGATTCTGATGAAGACAAACGGACAGGCCGAGAAGTGATGAGGATGTTTTGATCGTTACGTCACTCTGGACTGTTTCAATGGTAGTGCTTTGTTCCTTCTGCCTTTTTTTTTTAATGTCATCGTGATATTGATGCTTGCCCTGCTTGACCTCTTCGGTAGGAGGATGTCTTTCTGCAGGTGTTCACTGTGACCGCTGGCTAGACTAAGCAATCAGGATATAGGGAAACCCATTGAATATCCTTTGGGAATAGGAAGGTGGGTCGCCTGCAATATGTTTCAGCTGAATTGATTTTCCTTTCAAGACAACTTATCTCTGTGGCTTCCTTTTTGATTGGACGGGCATCTTTTAAAATACTGTGGTCATTGGACCTACGAGTAGACCAGGGCTCAGAGGGAGAGAAAGGTATTGCAGGTTCTCAGTGGGCTATGGGCTGCCCTGCCAAGGTCATCCACGATTTTCATCTTCTGTTGAGTTCTGCTCCAGCCTTTGGGGTTCAGCCTATTATGAGGGCAGAACCTGCATCTCGATCAGGGCTTTCCAAAAGATGACATCAGGGATTTGGTTCAGCTCACTGTAGGGGTGGTAGAGTAAACTTGTGCTGGTATAACTCCTGATTGCATTCACTCACCTCAGGATGGTTGCACTGCCTTTTGGCTGGTCTACCCAGGACACTGAAGGAGGTTCCTGAAGTGGTGGAATCTTCAAATAACACCTCTCTTACAGAGTTTTCAAGAACTCCAGGCTATATCCAGAACTTAGTGAAAGAACAAGATTTCCATTGATTTCACCGGGCTTTGAGTCTGGCCGTCACTATTTTATTAATGGGATTTGCCTTGTAGAATGGAGTATTTGCTGCACGGCTGGTAGAGTTTTAAGGCTTCAGAGACCATCATCTGTGCCAGGAGCTGCCTCTAAATGTGAGCACTCTCAAAGGTCAGGGTTGGAGAGCACTGAGGATCCAGTACTCCGGGCTGGGCTCAAGTCCAGTAAATGCATTTTAGGCTTTAAGCTTCAGCAGGGTATGTTTAAGGATATTTTCAGTATTGCTTTTATGAGGAGGAGAGCAAGAATTGTTATTGACTCTTTTCCGACTGTTGATATATAAATATCTGCCAGGGGAAAAAACACCTCAATAACCACAGGCAAATTGTGAGGGACAGAAAAGACACTTTACCTAAGCTGAGCATGTGAAGTAGAGTCTCACAGCAACATCTGCCCCTCTGGGTTTTCTTCTTCCCTCTCTGCCCATAGATACCTATATCCATAGATACATCTACATCATCTACGCCAAACAGCCCTAAATTTGTGGTCGCGATTTAATTTGCGTGTCGATCAGGAGATCACCCAGAAGCCGACAGGGAAGCAGGGAAGAAAAGATCATATTTGGAAGCAGAGACTCCTGAAGACCTACCCGTATGCTGCTAATTGACCAGTCATTAATGCTACATAGGCAATTACCTGTTCAGCCAGCCTTGAGACCGTACGCCCCCTCCTCCCCTCCCACCATCCACAGCCTGGGAACAAAACCATCAACCATTCTTTGCCTAAAAACTAAATTTCCAGTTCTCCCAGGGAACTGCTCTAAATTTTGTGAAGAAAAAATCCCCCAAAAGTTAACAAAACAGTCTATGAAAGATACTAAATGTTTAAAAATATGCTGGCAGCAGTTACATAAGCTCTCTTCTGTTCCAAAGTACATATCGGAAGGATATAACTAGGACAGTGAAAATGTAAAATAAATATAAATCGCCAGCTTGGAAGAAAAAATGATTTTCATCCCACAGTCTTAAAACCATTCATGTGCAGTGATTTTTTTTACAGTTTTCTAATTTTGTAAATTATTTATAAAGTGTTGTAATGCTTCTTATATTAATTTTTTTATAAACAAATTTTTGCTATGAGGCATAAATGGTGCCTGAACAGATTCTTAGGAAGATAAATTACATGTGAGTCATACATCTTTGGGGGGCCATAAATATTTTGTTTTATTTTGTTACTGGAAACATTTCTGGTTTCCATTTGTAAACAATTTTCATGCATTGATTACATTTGAATACCTTTTAATTTTGCATGTGACTAAAAGATAGATTGCTACCAGCAAATGAAACAAAAGTCTCTTCAGTCATATGTGAAGGTTTAATGGTTTTCCAATTGATTGATCATTGAATTTTTTAAGAAAAAGATATATATAAAAAATTATTATTTGAATAATGAACCAAGGGTTCACTTACTGTTCTGGTTTTGTCTTTTTATGTTTTTCACTAAAAAGCTATTTTGGACAGTTGAAGAAATCAAATGGATTCAAATGGTTCCAGTTTCTTTACGTTATTACCACAAAAAAAAAAAAAAAAAAAAAAAAAAAAAAAAAAAAAAAAAAAAAGAAAAAAAAAAGAAAAAAAGAGAGAACAAGAAAGCAAAAAGGAGCTAGGAAGGAACAAGTAGAGGCGTATCAAAGAACTCAAGCTATAACCAAAAAGAAATATGTAAAATGCCTTTGCTCGTCTTCTCAATGCTGGACCAAAGCTCAATGTATGTAGGTATATGCACATTGTATAGATATGGCTAAATGTTGCTGACAATCTCGCAATACTAAACTGTTACTATTTAAAAAAAAAAAAAAAGAAAAAAAAGAAATACAAAAATAAAACTGTTCATCAGTGTTTTACCTCAGCACTCTACTTGTACCCAGTTATTGACCAACATTCAAATAAGAAGATAAGAGAGGAAATTGATTTCCATGTCAATGTTTGACTGTAAAATCTGTTTGGAAAACATTTTGTAATGAGCTTTTTGTCATGTGGTTTGCTTGTTTCCAACTTGAGATTATGTGGGGCACATTTGTTTATTTATTGTTAAAAAGTGATATTATTATTATTATTATTAATTATTATGATTACTATTCTTCTTATTTTTTTGTCCTATGTGCTATAATCTACAGAATGGTCACCAGGGTCACTTATGAAGCACTGCAAAGAGATCTGTTTTTCCATGCATGGAGCATGCAGCGGGAAAGATGGCAGTACAAAACGGACTGTATTGTGTTGTTAAAAAATACGAATAATTACAAAAAGGAGTTGATGTGGTGGACTTGTGACCAAGAAACCAAACTGGATATTTAAAAGCTCCTTACTACTCTGACTTTGAAACCAAAGCTGATTTATCTGCACAGGTTGCTTAACATGAAAAAAATAAAAAAATAAAAAAAACTGACAAAAAACTGTACTTAATCTAGAGCAATATCTGTATGGTCAGTAAAGCTGCACTTTGTGTATTTCTTAACAGCTTCAGATCTGTCACTTTTAATTTGTACCATAAAAAAATAAAGAATTGTTTGACATGAAAAATAAGCTCCTTTCATGTGTTTGTCTTAAATCTCATGCATTATTCACATGATCAGAGCTCATGTAATTTCACATCCGTTCAATACAAAAACAGTTAAATGTACAAAAGAAAGGAAGGAAGAAAAACTCCGTTTGCACTGGTGGAGCATCCCCAAAACTAAAGGCTGTTTCTGTACCCAGAGTGGGCATGTACATTGGTGATGTCTTATTTTCTCTACAGATATGCAAAGCAGAGGATCTGCCCCAGGAATGTGGTGGAATCACCCAGGTGAGTGTGTTATTCTCCCCCAGGCCAAGAGGAGCAAAGCACAGATGGACACCAAGGCCAGAAAGGGTGAATGTCTTCACAGCTCCCAGAACAAAGCCCTGGTAAGTGCTGGAAGGGGAGTGTGGTCCCGAGCTTGGGTCGACCTTTCAGATGATCTGGTAAGTGCTGGAAGGGGAGTGTGGTCCCAAGTTGGGTCAACCTTTCAAATGAATTCTCTTGCATTTTTGCAAAGCTTGTGATGTTCCTTCCTCATTTCTTTCTGTGATTATGATGTTAGGTAGCAGGAATGCCTGGTTTTCAGGCCATCTGCATTGAGTCCTGTCTAAAAACATGATTCTGGGAAATCGACACGTTTTGAGAAATGAATTAGTTGCATTATAAAGTTGTTTTGGAAAAAAACAGCCTAGAAAAAAAAAGGTTCGGATAATGTTAGAACATTGTGTTTGAGACTTGGGAACAAAATTTTTGCAAAGCCTTTTTCCTTTGTTTGTTAAATATTGTTTTACATTTCTAATACCACAT